ATATTAATTTATAACAATTACCATATATTATATATATATAAATCTTACAGCTATGGCATTTTTGCCGTCGTTTTGGAAAACGATATCTACTAATCTGGCAGGGACTTCAACCAACTACTTCAATGTATTTACTGTACATATATTTCACTAATTTATGTATTCTGTATGTACATATCTGGCTGTATTGGACTAACTACCTTAATCAGCACCCAATACACTCGAGTTTGCATAAATAAATACAATTTTTTTTCTTTTTTTAAAGTTGTGACTTTTTTTTTAATACTATTTAAAATATATATCTTGTCATAATATAATTTCTTAATAATTTTTATTATTTTCATTATAAGATTTAAATTTTTACTTTAAAAAAATATATACAAAATTTTTGTAGAGAGGTTTCACAGAGTAGTGAACTACAACAGCAAAAATTTTTTTTTTATTGTTATATAGTCTGTTTCAAGTATTACCAAATACTTATTATCAGTGGTCCTGGGACTAGCTATTTGTAAATAATTTTTTGACTCTGCAGGTTTTTAGAGTTGAACTTGTTCCGTGCCCCCAATTTGAAGCTCAAAGTCATTAGCCAGCTAAATCAAAGCCATGCTTGACTTGTATGTTCGAACTTGGAATTTTTTATTAATTTGCTGTAAAAGTTCATTAACAAATTAACTAAATTATAAGGCAGCTGTGCAATAGTTGAATTAATAATATTTTTATTTTTATTTTTAATTATTAAAATTTTTTTTTTGTAGTTGTAGTTCACTACTCTTTGAAACCTCTCTATTACATACCACAATTTTTATTAAAGTTAAAATGGTCACTACTGTAAATTGACCTTAAAATCAAATTTAATATAGAAAATTTTTGTGTATTTATTAAATTGTTAATTGTAGTTCTATCTTTTAATATAATATTTTCATTTTTAAATTCCTTTAATGTTTGAAATTTCATATGAACTAAATAAAGTTTAGAAAGTTCTAAAATTTATGATAGTGATAGTAGTTATAAAACAAAAAATAACTTCACTCAGAAAATTTATCACATAATGAAATAAATTCGAAATCAAATATGAATACTCAAAACTTTATAAGTAGTAAAGCAGAATTTTAAATAAATTTTACTCCAAATTTAAATATTTAGGAAATTTATTATATATGAACTAAAATAAATAAAATTATTTAAAAATTGCAAAAACTCAAAATTATGAACAGATATAGGATGTCAGTTAACAGATATAAAAATACATTCGTGTTTGCTCATTATTAAAAATACTAAATAAAATCAGTATTTCTAAAAATATCTTAAAAAAATTTATTTTAAAATATAATTTACGTTTTTGATATTTAATCTCAATTAAAATTTAAACCAAAATCAAGAAAACCTGAGCAGATACTTAATTTTTGGCAAAGTTTCCGCATCTAAGGAAGTGAAATGCTTCAGGATAAAATTTCAAAGCATTTTTGTTAAGCGTAGTTGTTAAAGTTCAGCTATCAAATTTGTAAGGAATTGTTCATTTGAATAAAGTTAAAAATTAATATAATTAAAAATTACTTAAGTTGAAACTCTTTGAAGATGTATAAATGTCATACAAGTATGTATGTTGGAAATATTGTAGCAGCGCAGTGTAAATTCTGGTACAACGTTGCGTATGATGAACGTAAATGACGCACCATTTTCGCTCAATATAAATATCCATGGTAACTCTTCATGGTAAGTTTTCTTCATTTTTAAGTACTTAATTACTGTATAAATCTATGAAAATAATATTTTTTATGCAAATATACAGCAATAGCTTTGTGAAAAATTTTTATAAAAAAAATACTAAAGTTAAGCAGAATATAGTAAATATTATTCACATGCTATCATATGAATTATAATATGCATAAATATTTTTGTAAACTATATATAAAATTTGATATTTTTATTACTTATTAATATTACAAATAAACTTTTTCAATGAAAACAACGAATTTCAATGCATCTCCTTTAATAATAAATATAAATATAGTCACAGGTTTGCTTGCCTACCGCGTTGCCAACCGCTATTTGAGATCCATATAAGCATAAAATGTAAATTAATTTAAAAAGTAAATATAAACTTTTTGTTAGGCTACAAATTATACAGCAGCTGACGATTTTTATTAAGATTCATATTTCGCTATATACACAAACACTTATTCACAATTAAACTGAGATAAATTACAGATTCATAAGTATAGGTAAGAGCCCTTAAGCGCTCATTTGTAGGGAAAATGCGTATATTTCGCCGATTTGATTTTAATCGCAGCTCGTGTGCAATGAATATTACATTTTCAAATTTTTTGCGGTAAAAAAATAAGCGTTTTTTATTTTATTTTTGCTTTATTTGAATAAAAATTAGCAAAAACAAAAATAAATAATCTTTTACATAAAATATGTGTAAGTATATTTTTAGGCAAATAATACTCAAATTTTTTCATTTGCTTGTGTTGCGAAAGCGTTGAAATTTTACAAATTATCATAGAATTAATTAAAAAATTTCGGTTAAAAAATTCATTTATTTTTAATTAATGTAAAATGATATTTAGAAATTATTTTCTTTTATAGAAGAGAAAAAGATATTTTTTTTAATGGCTTAAAGTAAACAGAGATGATTTTTGTGGTAAAATTGCATAAATTTTTTAAATAATTATCGAAAGCAAAATGATAAAGAATTATTCAACAATTTTAGAAAATTAAGTAATTTAATATATTGTTGGAAAAGATTTTGTTATCTGAAATTTATTTAATGAAAATTAATTCAATATCAGTAAAATATTAATGTTCAGAATTAAGATACGGCAATACAATTTAATTTTTTCATAAATCATAAGTCATTCTGAAAGGAAAGATTAGATTTCAGTTAGTAATATCGACACTTGTACATCAAGGAAAAGCACGGACGAAGTCGTCCAGATAAACCTCCAAGAATTATAAAGGTTTGTACCTCATATTGCTGAGTACTTAAACGAAAAATTGGGTTGGGTAAATAATAACAGAAGGAAGATTATCCTAAATACTCTTTGAAAACTAACAAATTAAGATATCATAATTTTAACAGATAATTCAAAAATGGATTGCGGAGTAGAAGCAAGAATTTTCGCACCATATGCATACATAAATCACTTACTTGGATTACCTAATAGGGCCACAGTTCTTTATACTGAAGTTTTACGGATTAAGGAAGCAACAAATTACTAAAGAGAGTATACGATATTGTCTCCAAAAATAGAATTGTTACCTGCTCTCTTGGAGCAAGTGATTTGCGTCGGTTGAGCACTTTTTTTCTAATTATTTCAAACCATTGGTCTATGCGAACAAGCTTACTATGATTGTGTTTTTGAACATTAATACCTCAAATTATTCACAATAGCACAAGTTTATAGCTATACTATAA